ATCAGCTGTTCCAAGCTGCAGGGATCACCGCCATAACCGCCCATTGCTGCCGCCACCTATCGCTGCTTCCATGCGCCCCATTTTTGGCCTCTGTGTATCCCGTTTTCAGCCTCCACATGCCCCATTTCAGCTCGCTGCCTATCGTCATCTTCGCCATTCACCTGAAATGACCTGAAAATGGGACATGTGGAGGCCAAAAATGGGGTGCGCAGATGCCAAAAACTGGATGCTTGGAAGCTAAAAATGGGGTGTGCAGAGACTGAAAATGGGGCATGCGAAAGCGGCGATATGTGGTGGTGGCGATGGGTGGCGCCGATCCCTGCAGCCTGGAACAGCTGATCGGCAGCATTTTGGGAGGCTGATCCAACTGCCAATCAGCTGCTCGTGCTAAATCAGGTTGTGCTGAAGTTGACCGGGCTGTTTGCTGCAAGGAGACAAATTGCTGGGAGGCAGAGGCAGATTTTTTTTTTTTCCTCCCCTAAAGCTAGGTGCATCTTATGGTCTGGAGAGTCTTGTAATGCAGAAAATACAGTATGTTTTTAAAGCTTTCTTCTAAATATAAAATTGCATGCATTTCCAGGAAACAAATGAAGAGAAATGTTACAAAATTGCAAATGAGCTTTTGCACACTGAAAGAGCTTACGTGAGTAGACTGGCTCTCTTGGATCAGGTAAGTGTTTTTTCCACCTCCTTATTTTTGTGTGTGTGAAGAAATGTTTTAATTCTGTATAAGAAGAAATTCTTTTGCTTGAGTCACATGCAATACTAATCCATAATATGTTGAAACCTGGTCTTAGAGTTATGTAGGAAATAAGTCATGTACAGGAACACTTTTTATCTGAATCTGTTTTGAAATTAGCTTGGATTAAAACTAAAGCATGTTATGTTTATTTTCTCAAACAGTCTCCAAACATCTACATATCACTCTTTGAAATATGCTATGCATTCCACAATCATTTCATTCTTCCATCTTCATAAATGTATTATTTTCTACCAGCATTTTCCTTTCCTTGATTATTATCAGTAGCTTTTAAAGATCAGCACTCAACTCCAGAGTCAGTAATATAGAACTGCAGGCATTGTGTCAAACCTGCGCTGCCAATGGAATTTGCAGGTGTCCTAATTTAAATAATAATTCATTTTTAGTGGAATCTGATGAAATGGCCAAATTGTGAGATACTGAAATTACTGCCAAGATATTGGACAATATTTAATGATTTCTCAAGATATTGTTCATGTATATTTGTAAATTTATACAAGCACATATCCTTGTGGGCCATAGATGGGAAATTAATGTTTTAGATTACATCTTCCTGTGCCATTCTTTCTCTATCGAAAAGAGAAGAGTTATCAAGAATATTTCCTCCACTGTCCCATTTTCTCTCTCTCAGCAAATGGGGTCCATTTTCTTCCTTTGGCAAACGCCAGCCTATGGCTATTGGTCACTCCTAATACCCACAAGAAAATGTAAACCACCATTTAATTTTGCAACTAAGAAAGAGAAAATTCATGTTCATCTCCCAGTTGAAATGATGACTAACTACAAAATAATTAAGAATTACTCATATCCCATCAGAATAAAGTTCCATTTAAATTCCACAATCCAAAAATTTTAAATGTCACACAGCCCACGAGGGTTGGTTTTGCTCTCCTGATTCACTATCCTGTTCTTTTTGTTTACAGTATAACTTTTCTCAATAACCCAATACTGAATCTGAACATTTTTCATCATGGGAGCCTGTCTTTTGTTTTGCCTTCTCACCTTCGTTCTTTGCATAATTATTTTCCCCCTTTCTTTGGTCATTAGACCATAAATTGAGTTTTGAATATTTTTTAAAAAATCTTTGCCAGATTCTTTTTGTGCTGATTTGGATTTTTCTCTCTGATTCAAAATATAAGAAGCACCGCAGAGTTGCCAGTTTTGGAATAGAAATTAGACGTATCTTATTACCTTTAAATTTCTAGTAGTTTATTTTGACTACTGTCTTCTTACTATAGCTGTTGGCTGCACTAATGCATGCAATTCCTTTCAGTTTAATAAGGCACTGCTCTGCTGTGAAGTGATTTACAAGCCTGGGAGTGGGCAGCCAAAGAAACAGAACAAATTAATAACAAAATAATATTATTATAAAAGCAAGCAGTTACCTAATTAAGAGCCCTGGTGGTGCAATGGTTAGAATGCAATATTTCAGGCTAGCTTTGCCCACAACCAGGGAGTTCAGTCCTGACCGGCTCAATGTTGACTCAGCCTTCCATCATTCTGAGCTCAGTAAAATGAGGACCCAGATTTTGGGCGGAAATATAGTGACATTTGTAAACCACTTAGAATAGGGGTCACCAACCTTTTGGACCTCAGGGACCACCAAACTCATAATTTTAGATCCCAGGGAGCACTAACTGGTTCTATGGGTGTGGCCTAATTTGTGGGTGTGGTTTGGTGGTCTTGTGACTGGCTGGGCATGGCTTGTATGTAAATATTATAAATATTTATATAAATATTGAATTTTTTGTAAAAAAAAAGAGCAACTTTTACCCAAAATCAGGCAAAGCAGGCAGGCAGATCGAGTTGCTCGCAGAATCACAGATTCAATTCAGAAATCCATCTATCTGCCATTGGCTAGCTCAGTCTGTGACATAAAATTTGCTTGCAAGCAAACTCACAAAATTAACTCACAACACACCATGCATGTAAATATTGAATTTTTTATTTTAAAAAAGAGCAACTTTTACCCAAAATCAGGCAAAGCAGGCAGATTGAGTTGCTCACAGAATCATTCAGTGATCTATCTATTTGCCATTGGTTAGTTCAGTCTCTCAAATTTGCTTGCTGTGACTCTGCACTGAATTTGCTTGCAAGCAAACCTTCAGTCCTAAGGGAGGTTTGGCTGTGCTTAAAAGCAGAGCCGAAGATCTAAAGACTAGCTAGAAAGCAAGAAATCCAACCATTTCCTGCTTCCTAGCTAATCTAAATCTCCCGGCACAGCAGAACAGATGATGGTGGGAAAAAGGAAAAATAGAAATTTAGCAGGCAAATATACCGGATAAGGAGTAAGTGGGCAGGAGGGTTCCTGCCAGCTATGTGGGCGGCACAGCCTTGTGTTTCTGAGCAGCCTGGATTAATTGCTTTGTGGGGGTGCTCTGGGGGTGAGATTTCTCTGTGGCCCACCAAAATTTTCTCATGGCCCCCAGTAGGCCGCGGTCCACTGGTTGGCGACCACTGACTTAGAGAATGCCATAAAGCATTATGGAGCGGTAAATAAGTCTACGTGCTATTGCTATTGATAATTAAAAGAATACCATATTAGAAACTTTTAAACTGAGTATTTGGCTGGCTTCTACTTTGTCCCTATGCTTCAGGATGAATTCCGTTTTTCTTCTTTGTTTTGTTAACAGTCCATCTTTCTTTGTTTTGTTCTCAGTTCATCCTTCTATCCTTGTTTCAGCATGCCCATCAATCTTATCCCATGTACCTCACCTGTCATTTTCTCATATTCCTGCCTTTCCCATTAAAACTTTTTGTCTTTTGCCTAATACTTCATTCTCCAAGTCTTGTCCAAAACTTTTTACTTTTGACTGATATTCTCATTTCAAATTTCTGACACCTTTGCTGATTTTCTCCAGCTACTTTTACTCACCTGTCTTTCTCTTCAATTCTTTGCTTGTTTTTAGCCAACCATAGTTTAATGAAGTCTTTTTCAAACTGTACCCTATAGAGCTGCTAGATTTGGGAGATTCTTTGAGTTAGCCCTAACATACCTGTTTAGCCTCTTTGAAATTGTTGAAGAGAAAAGGAGGTGACATGGACCCCTGAAGTATGCTTGTGATTTTTTAAAAATTTTCCCTAAACTCAGCCCTATATTTTGTCTTTTATAGAGAACGTGTAAGTAAATGGTACTTGCAAGCCATAATAAAAAATATTGAGGCATGTGAGCAAGTTACTCTGTGTTTCTACATTTTGCCCTTTTAAAGAAGCTATAAATTTATATTATATTTTCCAAAATTCCAAAACATAATATAGAGCAGCTGTGTGGCAACACCCAGTTGACTTTGGATCATCTTAAAAACCTAATCTTGGGTGGACCTGACTATACTTGGATGGAAAACTACTAGCAAATCTTTGAGCTTCAGGCTCAGGGGAAGTTTTTTTAAAAAAAATCCTGGAAGGCAGCAGTAGCAAATCACTTCTGTATTGATTCTAGGAAAACTAGATAGATGTGCCCATAAAATCACCAGGAATCTAAATAGACTACTAAAAAGGAAATTTTACATCACTGAAATCAATTTCCTAATTGCAAATCTGTTGGTTTATTAGACCTGAATTGTTTGTTTATTCATGTCAAAAGCATCACAATTAAAATAAGGCATACTATTTGACATTAAGGTACAAAATACAAGGTTTAAAATATGTGTACAAATTAAACATGTTGCCAGAAACTAGCAACTTTGTGTTCCAGTGCATGGCCATGTACACTGAACAGGACCTAAATTTATAATTTCGTACTCTTTAGTAATATTGGTAGAAAAATACACTCTTAAGGTTTTTGTAAAGATTGAGGTTAAGGCTGTATTTTGACATGAAGGTTAACTCTGGTTTACATAAGAATTAGTCTTGAGGTTGCACATTCCATTCCACCACGTTTCTCCTGAGTTAAACAACTACGAAAAATAGTTTGAAACTTCCCTTGGCAGAAAAATATTTTTGGATTCAAATGTAATTGGTTAATGACAATTATTTGAGAAGTGGAATTCATTTTATATCATAAAAAAACTTCATCTTCCACTATAGGTTGGTCACAACAAGTGTCAGCCTTTAGTAGACTATGTTCTTGAAAAGCTAAGCAGAATTAAAGTTACAAATTCCACACACACACACCCAAAAAATCCTAAAAGAACACAAAGTCCTTTTGTATTATTGCTAAGATTATAATTATACAGCCTCCAAATCTAGATAAAGCATGTTGCTCCTGTTTTGTAGTTAGGTTAACTTCTTTTAGCAAGCTGATAGCAAGGCTATCTACAGTCAGGTCTTGTGGTGGTCTGATGAAGGAAGTGATAAGGGATCCTAAGGCATTTATTTATCCCAATTTGGCCAGCTAGTAAATCGTTACTCATTCAGAATACAGAATAACAGAATTGGAAGGGACCTTGGACGTTGTCTAGTCCAATCCTCTGCTCAGGCAGGAAACCCTAAACCAGGGGTTTCAAACTTGATTTCATTTGAGGCCCGTATCAGGGTTGTGTTTGACCTTGGAGGGGCAGGGGGGCATGGCCAGCTGAGCATCGCCAGCTTGACATCACTCATGTCAGGAACACCTGTGGTGGCCCTGGTAAGGCTGGGAGATCCACTTTTGCTAGTAGTTTGTTTTGCTAGCACTCTACCAGTGAAAATAGAGCTTGGGGGGGGGCGTGTGTGGTCCCCCAGGCTCCACTTTCAGCTGGGATGGCCTCCTGCAGTGTCTGCCAGCAAAAATGGAGCTCAGTGGGGGGAGCGCATGTGGCCCTCGCAAGCTTCATTTTCATTGGCAGAGCGCTGCAGGAGGCCGTCCCAGTCACAAACGGAGCTTGGGAGGGCCGAGCTCTGTTTTCATTGGCAGAGGCAACACAGATTGGTCCTTCGCTGTTTCCAGGGTGGCCCTGCCCCCCAGATCTAAGCACCCCACAGGCCTTGAGTTTGACACCCTTGCCCTAAATCATTTCAGTCACTCAAAACCGTGTAATATGATATGTCCAAGGGCCTTGTAAAAGTAAGCTGGGCAAGTATATAAATCAAATAACGAAATAAAGAGCAAGTGAAGGTTGTTATGTCAATCTGTTTCTGTGTTCAGTAAAAATGGAATGCAAAGAAGGTTTGATGTGATGGCTCATCAGTGTAACATGGGAGTGAATATTTTGACTTAAATGAGCAGCAAATGTGAGGGAAGATGAGTTTTGAAGGAAAGGCAAAAAAAAGAAAAGAAGAAGAAGGAAGAAGCAGCACATACATCAAAAATCTGCTGGCTCAGAAGATTGCATAGCTTTCCTAGAATAAAGACTGACACGTTTGAAGGTCATTTCACAGTGTGGTGCTTTAGATTCACAGCAGAAAAAGGTTCTTTGGATATGTGAATGTAGTATCTGTCAGCAACTTTTTCTATGACAGGAGGCAGGTACTTTAAGAAAATACACAGGGGTGCAACATGGGTGCCCCCATTACTTCTGAAATCCATTTATGTCTTTGCATTGCACAGCTTTGCTTTGCAGAGAACCCATTCTGAAGGGCAAGAATAGGAGCTAGCTCTGTATTGCCTCATTAAAACAAAGAGAGGTTATAACGGGGGATTGTTAAAACATTATTATGGATTACCTGATATACCAATAAACAACAGCGACCTTTTATCTTGTGCTAACGTGAGGGGAGCAGGAATGCATTTATGCGTGTCTCTGACTTCCATTCTTTGCAGGTCTTTTATTGCAAACTAATGGATGAAGCTAACCGGGGATCATTTCCAGCTGAAGTTGTTAATAAAATATTCTCCAATATTTCATCCATAAATCAGTTCCATAGTCAGTTCTTGCTACCTGAGCTTGAGAAAAGAATGCAGGAATGGTAAGCATGGTTGTAAATTGTTGAAGGACAGTTTGAAAAATAACATGAACATCATCCCCCCATAGAAGGGGAACCCAAAGAAGCATTTTACCTTGTGTAATTGAGATCCTTAAAGATTCTTTGTGAAAAAAAACCTGGAAATATAATATCCCTTTGCCTTGAAACTTGTCCTTCCATATGTGCAGATATCAAAAATATATGGAATGCAATTTTGGAGCAGGGTGAGATCAATCTGTATTTGTAGAATAAAAAAGATTCATGATGATTTTGCAATAATTAATACTGATTTTAGGATAGGAAACAAAAGGATTTCTGATTGTAAAAGATCTGCTATTATCTCAATGCCTTTTCAGAACCAACCAAATCTTAACTCCCCTCTCATTGTGTATTGTACAAGAAATTCTGACATTTATTTCTGCTTTTTGATTGTGTGTGGAATTAAGACAGATGTTAAATTTAATTGTGGTTTAAGATTCATACACCCAGGTTGCTTTTTGGCTTGCTTCATTAAAAAAACATTATTCAGAATCATATTTTTCTGAGTGGGTGTAGTTGATAATTACAATCATGCACTAATTTTCCCCAGATCAGATTTTAGGAAGAAAGGGATACATTGCAACTCTGTTCCCAAACCTTCTTAGCATGGGGTGGAAAACCTGTGGGTCCATCATCCATATATACCCCTCTGAATTCAACTGTCAAAGTTCTCAATAGCAAAACAAGTTGATTATTTTCAGCAGCAAGATTTTTATTACTTTTTAAAATTAAGTAGAACACACCTATTTTTGTTTTTTACTTCTTCCCTTGGTCACCCAAATTTCTCTCAGTTGAAAACTAGGTCATGTACTTCAATCCTGGTCAGTCCACCAATCCCAGTATCCATTGGGTGGAAAAACATAGAGGTGGGATGACTGTACAGATTGTCCTTGTGTAATTTTTTCCTGTTGTAGAATATTAGTTAGAACTTTGAAACTTGTGTCTCCCTTACGAATGATCAGTGTGGCAGATAAAATCTTTCATAAAATATAGGCATTGGCTCCTGAACAATTAGAGGCTACTGTTCTACTGTGGGAGGCTAATTAATTAATTGATAAGATGAGTGCGTTTCATGATAGGCTTTCACTGAAATAAATTATAATCATTACATTTGAGAATATGAATTTGAGTCTGAAAATCCTTCAGCTAGATTATGATTGTCACGCAAAATAGGCATTAAGGAAGACAAACTAATAAAGAATTTACAGTACTAAAAGGCCCATGGTAAGTATTACTTGACGTTTAACACATTATTCATGTGTTGCTGCTTTTTTCCTCCTATTTAGGGACACCAACCCCAGAATCAGTGATATTCTGCAGAAACTGGCTCCTTTTCTCAAGATGTATGGAGAATATGTGAAAAATTTTGACAATGCAATGGAGCTGGTGAAAACTTGGACTGAGAGATCCCCTTGTTTCAAATCCATTATTCAAGATATTCAGGTAATATATGTGTGTATGTGGTATGTGTGTGAGTGTGAGTGTGAGAAATAATGATTTCATTTTACACACACACACACAACACACACACAAAACCATGTCAATAGCACTTCATTTTGTTGCATGGTATAGTGCCTTCCAAAAACAATTTGGAATCTACCCATGAAATGGTAAACTTAAGCAGGGGTGGGATCCGACCGGTGTAACTACCAGTTCGGTGATTTTACATTTTGCTGCGCACGTGTATATCATCATCATCTAGCTGCCTGGACATCTGAGCAGCACTGCACGCAGGTGCGCAGCGTTTGAAAAAGCACTTTTTTCCTGCTTTTTCAACCACAGCTGTGTCGTGCAAAGTAGCTGCAATTGAAAACACAGGAAATAAAGGTCAGGTAAGAGCCCAGGCGGGCAGGTGGGACAAAACAGCAGCAGACATAGAACAGGATCTATGTATGCTCTCTGTTTGCTGCTTTTCATAGCAACCAGTTCTACAGAAGTGGACAGAACCGGTAGAATCCCACCCCTGGACTTAAGTTGTCTAAAGTGTAGGTCATATGTAGCTCATAAAAACTAGGAGATCTAAAATTCCATGGAATCAACATTACTACAACAGATTTCTTTCTTTTTTCTTTTTCTAGAAACAGAAAGTTTGTGGAAATCTGACATTGCAGCATCACATGCTAGAACCTGTACAACGAATTCCAAGATATGAGATGCTGTTGAAGGATTATTTGAGAAAATTGCCTGCAGATTCTCTAGATTGGAAAGATGCTGAAAGTAATATTTGTGGGCATTGTGCATGAAGCAAAAGAGGAACTATCTTACAGCTTGCCATTTTCCTTTTGTTGTCAGGATGAAAAAAAATCTTTCTTTTTTTGCATTTCAGTTGTGTGCTGAAATACAAGAGAAAATAAGTACATCAGCATATCAGTATGCACTTTCTTGCATACTGATATGCTGGAATAAGTTTTAAATTGTGATGAGTATTGCTGTTGTCTTTAACAAGTTGTAATTTTAAAGATATTCTTTTTAATTGTGGTTTTCAGAAAGGGTTTTCCATTTTTTTTTCCAAATTATTCATTTCATTCCATGAATGCTCACAATAGTTTTGTGCAAACGTTTAAATAAGGGATTGGTTTGGTAACTCAAACCACAGAAAGATATACGTTATGATTATTTTTTTTCCATAGGTCTCTTTCGTCAAATTAATGGACTCTGTTTTTTCTGAAATTTGAATAAGGAGGTTAAGATTTGTTTTTCTTCAGCATAGTGGCAGGGCTGGTCATATCTTTGCCTTTAATTGACCTCTGCAGATTTCATTCATTGTCAAAAAGACAAGCATAGCAGTCATTTTCATACATATTTCAGTTTGAAGTGACTGAGCTGGCAGTGACAAGTCGAATTAATAACTGGATTTGCATTTTACAGAGCAGAAATATTATTCTGCCAAGGGCTTGTTTAATGCTTCATTTCAGTAAAAGATGCATTATCATAACCTTTTAATATTCAAGTTTAACATACTAATGTTGGCTGCAAGACCAACATGTTGCTCTGTTGCTCTGGCTTTTTATTTTGTACTGATGTGAAAAGCTAGTTCTGAGGAAACTTGCTGTGCTATACAGTATTTGGCTATTTAATTGAATTTAGCAGCTATTTTTTCTAAATACAGGTTATAAGCAAGCTAGCTTTTAAAATATTAATTTACATATTAATTAGGGAATGAGAATTAATCTTTTTAATTTACCATTTCTTCCCTAGAGTCCTTGGAAATTATATCCACAGCTGCAAGTCACTCTAACAGTGCCATCCGGAAAATGGTGAGTAACATATTTGCCATTTTCTGTTTGCAGAATTTGCATTTTAGTTATTATTACAGTTGTTTTCAACTTACCACCATAGCTGAGCCCAAAATTTCATTGCCAAACAAGACAGTTGCTAAGTGAGTTTTGCCCCATTTTATGACCTTTCTTGCCATAGTTGTTAAGTGAATCTGGCTTTCCCAATGACTTTGCCTGTCAGAAAGTCACAAGGGTGAGCACATGACCCCAGGACATTGAAACGATCATAAAGACATTTGCCAAGTGTCCAAATTTTTATCACGTGACCATGGGGATGCCGCAATAGTCATACATGTGAAAAACGGAGATGAGTCTCTCTTTTCAGTGCCATTATAACTTCATGTTTCCTCAGGATTAGAAAAGCCAAAATATTGGGTCACCTACAAAAACAAGATCCATGACAAAATCAGGAGCAAGCATATTTGCCAAAACAAATGGCAATTGCATTAATTGCCCTTGTGGGTAGTGTAGGAACTTGTGGGAAAACAAATGTAATATTTTAGTACAAATAGTATTTCTCACACAGGCATCCATAAAATTGATAGTTGTCCATACAATTTAAACACAGGTAATCCTTGACTTACAACTATTTGTTTAGTGACTATTTGAAGTTATATTATATACCTGCTATCAGTGAACAGAGTAGCTACACAATATACCATACATCTTTTTTATGTGTTATATTTATAGAGTATGTTTGTGAATTTTTGAATCAATCTGTATAAATCTTTATAAATATAGATTCTGCATAATTCAATCTATATAAATAAATGAAATCTCTCCTTGTTTCATCCTCATCATAACTGGTGAGGCTGTTGGTGTAGAAGAAGAGCAGGCAGAGTTAGGTGATGGTGGTGGAATTAAACATGTTATCAGTTTAGAGTCCTTACATTGCCACAAACAATCCAAATTCAGCCTCTCTTGAATTCCTTATCTGCTGCCAATTTAATATTGAACTTTAAATGACTAGATTCTTATGTATAGCCTTTTCATAAACAACTGCAAGCAGTTTGCATCAATGTTGTCATTTCTTTTATTTTGATGAAAAAGGAAAATTTGAAGAAGTTACTAGAGGTGTATGAAATGTTAGGAGAAGAAGAAGATATTGTCAATCCTTCAAATGAACTGATAAAAGAAGGGCAAATACTTAAGCTTGCTGCTCGTAACACATCAGCTCAAGAAAGATATCTCTTCTTAGTAAGTATTTTACTCTGACTTGGTACCATTTTAAATGTCTATAGCACTAGATTTCTATATTTGTGCAGGTGAAGGGGAAGTGCTATTTCAGTGCTGTGGTTTTTCCTACAAAGAAAGATTTCCAAATTGACTTTCTGTAGTTCTTTTTTGAGTACAGTATTCCTAATTGTTCTTAACATAACTTGTGAAGCAATGCCAAACAAGAACATGGTTTCCTCCTAAATAGCCTTATACAGGACCAGGAACATGGCTGATACTAATTAGGACTAATGTTGATGCAATAAAAGGCCGAAACATGGTAAAATGATAAAGGACATTTTTGTATACTGAGAAAGGAGACTTCATGGTTTGCAAGTGGAAGTTTACAAGAAAGCAGTGGGGAGCATTTGTGTGTGTGGAAGAGATGCTAATACATTCAAATTCATAAATACTAGATCAGTAAAAGGATTCCCTTGCAATTGTCCACCAGGCTAACTTCTCTTAATCCTATGTCTCTTACCTTTGAATGGAGAAGTAATGAATGGTATGTTTAAGTAGTACGTCTTGTGCCATAGGAGGAAGAATGGCAAAATCTGGAGGTAGTGCTAAAAAGAGGGATCAGCCTAGAATCCCTATATAGCCACAATCAGACTAAGCCCAACCTCCCGCCTTGAATTCCATGGATCCTTATTTAGCTCCAAGCAGATGCTAACTGTTAGTTGAGAAGATTCCTGTGCATAGGCATGTGTAGCAATAAATCAATTGAATTGGACTTTCATGTGTGAACCCACTGTGTGCCCACTGAAAACATTGTTAGTTTCAAAAGTATTTTCTAACTATTTTTTTTCTGTCTTTTGTGAAGAGGAAATTGATTTTTTATATTTGTATTCCATTTGTATTCTTCCTAAAAGTCATGTTTATATTTAAAGTGGGATTCAACTCAGTCAATTTCTAGAAAAAGTTCATATAATATAGATGTGGTTAGAACAATCTTTTTCTGTGCTTAAAATTGTTCTCAGAAAATTTCACACACATTGCACTCAAAATCAGCTTCCAGGCAAGAAACTTATTTTTGTACTTTCAAAACCAAATAATTTTTTTTAATAAACATTAAACAAAATAACAATGGGTTCATTACTTTAATGGTTTAATTCTTTATGAAATGTGTAATCAGTTTCCCAAACTCCTATTTTACACACTGGCAAAAGTAGCATTTCTCTCAGATTGTACTATACTATATGTTGAAAGTGAACTGTAACAGTGAATATCCTGGAGGATTGTAGCAATGTTAGTTGTGCTGACCACTTATTAATATCTTATTTTTCTTTCACTTAGATACAATTTTCACATTGTAAAGTGAATGTTTTTGTTTAATATAACCCACTCATTACAATTATGGATACTAATATCTTTTGACAATTGTTGGGTTCTTTTCCAGTTCAATAACATGTTGCTGTACTGTGTACCAAAATTCAGCTTAGTGGGATGTAAGTTTACAGTCCGGACAAGAGTTGGCATTGATGGCATGAAGATTGTAGAAACCCACAATGAAGAATACCCACACACTTTTCAAGTGTCTGGGAAAGAACGAACTTTAGAGTTGCAGGCCAGGTAAGAAGTAAATTTAAGACTTGCTTGGAGCGTAGTCACACTAAAGTAAAAGTTTATAGAGTCCTGGAACAGAGATATTGAAAACCGGCGTATATCTGATTTGCATTTGGAAAGCACTGGTTCTTTTCATTCTTCTTAGTGAAATTCAAAATTCTTAAATGAAGGACATGATGGTTTTTAAGCCATCGTTTCCAAACTTGGCAATTAAAAAATGTGGACTTTGATTCCCAGAATTCCTCAGCTAGCATGCTGGTAGCATTTCCCAGCTGCCTTTTGTTGATGTTTGACCTTTCCCCTAATTTCATCAGCTCATAGTTAGATACAGTTAGCTCTCAACTTAAAACCATGGTTTAATTGTTTAATGACCATTCGAAGTTACAACAGCACTGAAGAAAATGACTCATGACTGTTTTTCACTCTTACAACTGTTGCAGCGCCCCCGTGGTCACATGATCAAAATTCGGGCACCTGGGATCATATGATCACCATTTGTAACTTTCCCATTCAAGCAAAGTCAAATGGGAAGCTAAATTTGCTTAATGGCTGCGTAATTCACTTAATAACTACAGGCATTCACTTAAAATGGTTGTAAAATGGGGTCAAAACTCATTTAACAACTGCCTTGCTTAACAACAGAAATTTTGGGCTCAATTGCGGTCATAAGTTGAGACATTCCTGTACGGTTAAATGAATGTCCCATTCAATGGAAATGTTGAACAGAAGTGATCAAGTTTCTTGCTTGAGAATATAGAGATCCCCGAATAACCTGTATTAAAATTAGAAAAATGACTTGGAACATTCCACTATTGATACCAAATAAGTCCTTCTGGTAGACTGAAGAAATATACTAGATGTAGTTAATGCTATGAATTGAATTCTGTTTGTATTAAATACCATGGAATAATAGTTAATAGTCACATTTGTTTATTTATAATTAGTACACTGCAGGATGCTTGTCTCAATGATGTGAAGAGTTTCTTTAGGGTCCTTCCCATAGTACATAATCTTTTCTGCTTTTTAATGAGCACAAATAAAAACGCTAGGTAAATGTTTGTAACACCAGCCACATCTTCCTTCTTATACTATTGAGTACACGCCTTATACTGATAAACAGTAATCGTCTTCATCCCCATAAAAATTGCATTAGTTTGCCCTAAGGATTTTCTTTACCAGAAGAACTTGTCTTTGTTTGATTCCATGAGAGTGGAAATTGATGCTTGTGGTTATAAGGTGCATTTTGTTAGAGAGATGATTGCTTCCTGGTGATCTCATAAAGCCATTACTGCAACCCTGTGAGAAGCAGAGCTTAATGTTTGATTAGATCAATTTATACAGTCTCTGTCTGTACTTCTAAGTCTTAAATTGCCCAGAGTATAACTTTACTAAACCTCCCATGTTCTAGTAGTTGGCACAGATGATAAGATTTATTTTTATCATGCAAGTTACAGAGTCTGGAATCATGGAACGGACCCATTGGTCTGTTTAGTAGTTACTCTGATTCCGCGAGCAATGAACGGAAAGGCAAGTCACAGCCTTATGGTTTCCTTATTTGATATTCTTAAGGTAAATATGACATCCTGTAGGCATTCCTATAAACATAGGTATCCTTTTGATTATATGAATATTTGATGGCAAAACCATTATTTGGAAATAGCAGGGTGCAATCAGGATGCAACTCTATAAAGCAGCTACTATGTGCAACTATCGGATCCTTGCATATTCCAAACATCTTTTTGCTTTCAAATCTGCACAGCCCTAGTAAAATAAATCCTTCCATTCTGCAAACTGAAAGCATTAGAGCACTAAATTCCAGGCAGTGCTATATTATATTAAGATCACCTGCAGTGGAACTGTTAATGTTTCGCTACAGAAAACTTAATATGGAAACAATCGCTTGAGCCCAAACTTGCATACAACTTAGAGAGGGGACAGGAATGGAGAAGAAACTGCTAAGTGGCTTTTATGTAAATGACCTACTGGCCACAACTATGGGACTTCTTTTCCAGATCTGCTTTTAGAAACAATTTGAACAATACACTCTTGGCAGTGTACAAATTCATGAGATTAGGTTTAGTTGCAGAGTTCAATTTGGCAGGAAAATGTTATATATGTAGTGACAAAGTTTACTTCTCAGTACAATTTAGATCCAGTAGCTACAGCCTTAAATGACTTTATTTCTGGAAGGTTTAAGGGAAGCTCAGAGAGGAGAAAAATCCAGCCCTGAATTGAGCAGAACAATTTGTGAAGTTTTAATGGAATTTGCATTCACACATGCAGAGGGCATTAGAGACATTATTCTGGTATATACACATGTGAAATGTCATTCTGACCCCATTTCAAATGTCATATTTGAACAAAGGTTTAATCATGCACCAGCTTGAAAGGCATCAGCTTTTGAATCCAGAATCCCAATTATTTTTTCTTCTTCTTGCAATGAGACATTTTTAATGTTTTCAGTACTGTACCTTTTTATATGCTTCGGCATTTGTAGGTCTTGCCATGTAAAATGGCGTTATAGCTTATTAATAGTTTCTGAACATGCTTTTAACCATTATCTCCAACTGTGTTCTTTAGCTCTGAACAAGACAAAGAAGAATGGATAAAGGTAAATAAACCTGACTTTTTATATCCAAATATGCAATAAATGTGCTAAGATTGATGCTTTATATGCAACTAGGTAACATGGCAATTCCACTGCTGCTGTTGTCACGATTCTTTTGAAATCAAACTTCCAGCGTTTGTTGATTTAAAAAGTTAGTTACTAGAATCAAGCATGCATCTATCTCTAGTGTTCATTTTGTTCTGACATTCAATTATTTACTCTTCCGTTATGTTAAACTCGGTCTGCTTTCTCCATTTCATTGATTCCAGGCTCTTCAGAGCACTATAGATGCTTTTCAGCAAAGAAATGAAACATTCAGAAATGCAATTGCAAAAGAATACGATGACATGCCTATTGAGGTTTCTGTAAGTTGAGTGTAACTTTTGGGTTGTGTATACTCCTATCATATTACAAAGTCATTGTCTTGAATTGTATTTATTTTTCCCCTGCCTAGTATTGATGGTACAGAATTATCCCCCAACTTAATTAAAATAGTTATTCTGAGCAAAGAACACTTTTTTTGCTCAAAGCGGGAGAGTTATCATTTAAAGAAAGACCAATGAAAGACACCAAGTAGCGGAAAAAGTATGATATAATCTTTGAAATGCCTCCGAACATAAATGGATGGTGGAGGGAATGGCAGCTACAAGGATTTTTAAATCATGGCTATGATCAGAAGCAGTTCAAAATGATCATTCACACAATTTCTCAGTTTGTACATGATTTTATTATATTGAGGTAAAAGTCAAGACTCTGAGATCAGACAAGCATATATTGTTTGACAGTCTGTGAGATCAGACAAGCATATATTGTGTGACAGTCTACTGTTAACAGGCAGAAATAAGTTATAAATCTTTCGTTCCAATTACTGTTCAGTCATGATAAGAGTTACAAGAGTTTTATTTCGTCTTTTAAAAACACTGTGACTTCCTGCTCAACATTTCTCACTCCTTTTTCTATTGTAATTATTAAAAAAAAATCAAAGGATAGTTAATATTTGGCAAAGAAGCATTTCTTTAGGAAAAATGGAAATAATTCCAGAGGGAGAAATAAAGAAATGCCAGAGAGATATATACTATAATTACAGTCTATTCATTATTCAGTCAACAAACAAAACATACAAAGCATTCAAATTTAGACTTCATTTCTAATTATCATACAACATAGCTGTCTTTTTGGTTAATCTGTTTGTTCTGATCTTTGCAGAAATTCTCTTCATCCCCTTCTTGCACACATAAAGAGGGCTATGCTCATTTGAATATCTTTCCCTGGTTATGAGATTGAAGCCCAGCTGCCATGAAAGTTAGGGTCCAAATATCTATTTCTCTTTTCTTTTCCTGCAATTGCTAGCAGAATTTATTTGTGTATAGCTATTTTAATCTTTGGCATTCCCTGCCTTTTCCTACATCACTGGACTTGGTTATTGCTAGCAAGGGAAAACGCAAAGCATCAAACTAATCTTGAATATCTTTCAATCCTAAATATGCAGCTGTTGTTTATGGTAGCATCCACACCTGTTATTTAGTTTTAAGATTATCCTGTCATTCCACTGGCTTTTCAGAAAGAGAGAGTTAATTACCTTTTCCTCTAATAATGTTCCACAATTTATTTATTTTTCTTCCCCGGAGACTGCTGAGCTCGGGAAGAGAGCCCCAAGATGGATCCGAGACAATGAAGTGACTATGTGTATGAAATGCAAAGAGCCATTTAATGCACTAACAAGGAGGAGACATCATTGCCGAGCTTGTGGGCATGTAAGCACAAAGCCACATCTGCTGGTTAACAGTTGCTGAAGCTGCCAAAAACTTGTTCAGAAACTCCATCTGGTGATTGCTTTTAAATGCTGTTTTGTTTCAGCTGACACTTGCCATGGCAGAGAGTCAGAATTTGTGAACCAAATCTGTGCCCCCTTATGGCCAATGCAGGAAACATTTCTGTAAATGGTTCCTTTAAAACAACTGGAATGTTAAATTCATTTTACATTTCATTTTATTGCGTTTCTGGTGTCCTTTATCAGATCTCTATTCTGAGCTGCCATAGGCTATTTGATCCTCTATTGCAGGGCTGTCAAACTTGCAGCCCATGGGCCAGATTCATCACGTGCTGGCCACGCCCGTGCCCACGCCCGGTTTAGCAAAGGGGAAAAAAGTCCTGTGATGCTGCTATGATGATGTGAGTTTGATACCCCTGCTCTATTGGAATCTCTAATTATTATCCTTTAATAATAGTCTGCAATCATTCAGCTGGTTTTAGGTTATCTTTGGAAGTATTTTTCAGGGTACCAATTTTAATCTCTAGTTGAAAGAGTTTTATTTCAGATATGTTTAATTGTGTAATTCATAATGTTAAGTTACATATTCATATTTTTTGTGCACAGCACTTTTGGTATACAGTGTACAGGTGAAGCTCGAAAAATTAGAATATTGTGCAAAAGTTCATTTCTTTCAGTAATGCAACTTAAAAGGTGAAACTAATATATGAGATAGACTCATTACAAGCAAAGCAAGATAGTTCAAGCCGTGATGTGTCATAATTGAGATGATTATGGCTTACAGCTCATGAAAACCCCAAATCCACAATCTCAAAAAATTAGAATAGTGTGAAAAGGTTCAATATTCTAGGCTCAAAGTGGCCCACTCTAATCAGCTAATTAAGCCATAACACCTGCAAAGGGTTCCCAACCCTTTAAATGGTCTCTCAGTCAGGTTCAGTAGGAATCACAATCATGGGAAAGACTGCTGACCTGACAGTTGTGCAGAAAACAATCATTGACACCCTCCATAAGGAGGGAAAGCCTCAAAAGGTAATTGCAAAAGAAGCTGGATGTTCCCAAAGTGCTGTTTCAAAGCACATTAATAGAGAGTTATGTGGAAGGGAAAAGTATGGAAGAAAAAGGTGCACAAGCAGCAGGGATGACCGCAGCCTGGAGAGGATTGTCAGGAAAAGGCCATTCAAAAGTGTTGGGGACTTTCACAAGGAGTAGACTGAGGCTGGAGTCAGTGCATCAAGAGCCACCACACACAGATGGATCCTGGACAAGGGCTTCAAATGTCGTATTCCTCTTGTCAAGCCGCTCCTGATCAACAAACAATGTCAGAAGCATCTTACCTGGGCTAAAGAAAAACAGAACTGGTCTGTTGCTCAGTGGTCCAAAGTCCTCTTTTCTGATGAGAGCAACTTTTGCATCTCTTTTGGAAACCAAGGACCCAGAGTCTGGAGGAAGAATGGAGAGGCACACACTGCAAGATGCTTGAAGTCCAGTGTGAAGTTTCCACAGTCTGTGTTGATTTGGGGAGCCATGTCATCTGCTGGTGTTGGTCCACTGTGTTTCATTAAGTCAAGGGTCAACATAGCCGTCTACCAGGAGATTTTGGAGCACTTCATGCTTCCTTCCGCAGATGAGCTTTATGGAGATGCTGACTTCATTTTCCAGCAGGACTTGGCACCTGCCCACACTGCCAAAAGCACCAAAACCTGGTTCAATGACCGTGGGATTACTGTGCTTGATTGGCCAGCAAACTCTGCTGTCCTGAACCCCATAGAGAATCTATGGGGAATTGGCAAGAGAAAGATGAGAGACATGAGACCGAACAATGCAGAAGAGCTGAAGGCTGCTACTGAAGCATCCTGGTCTTCCGTAACACCTCAGCAGCGCCACAGGCTGATAGCTTCCATGCCATACTGCATTGAGGCAGTAATTGCTGCAAAAGGGGCCCAAACCAAGTATTGGTTACATGCATATGTACCAAGTACATATGCATGCTTATACTTTTCAGAGGTCTGATATTGTTTTATGTTCAATCCTTGATTTATTGATTGCATGTAATATTCTAATTTTCTGAGATTGTGGATTTGGGGTTTTTATGAGCTGAAAGCCATCATCATCACAATTATGACAAATCACGGCTTGAACTGTCTTGCCTTGCATGTAATGAGTCTATCTATATATTAGTTTCGCCTTTTAAGTTGCATTACTGAAATAAATGAACTTTTGCACGATATTCTAATTTTTCGAGTTTCACCTGTATCTACTGACTGCCCAAGTCTAGTGACACTTTGGTGAACATGTTCGTATACTCAGAAATAAATTAATCGTTTATTAAAACTCTCACCATGGCAAATGGTGTTTGGAAATGATGTTTGGAAGCAAACTGATGTTCCAAAGTAACTCAGTTTTTCCTTATTTTTCTTAAGGTGGTTTGCTGGAAATGTTCTGATTACAAAGCTCATCTTGAGTATGATGGCAATAAGCTGAACAAAGTCTGTAAAGATTGCTACCATATTATAACAGGGTGCACTGATAGTGAAGAAAAGAAAAAAAGAGGAATCTTGGAGGTATAAAATTTAAAGAATTAAAGTGTGTTGGGTCTTGTTTATTGCTTATTTTACATTGCTTTGTATCTTTTGTTTGTTGTTGCCTGTCCCATTTTATTAACTTAAAATATTTTAATAAAATGGTTTATTAAATTAAAAGTAAGATCACACATATTGTAATACTGCATCCAGTTTTGGTCACCCTATTATAAAATAGAGACTCTGGAAAAAGTGCAGAGAAGACCAACAAAGATGGATAGGGTGCTGGAGGCCAAAACATGCAAAGAACTGGGAACATAGGCAATATAGAACATAGGAACTGGGTATGTCTAGTCTAGTGAAAAGAAAGACTAGCGGTGACATGATAGCAGTGTTCCAATATTTGAGAAGCTACCACAAAGAAGAGGGAATCAACCTGAGGGCACTAGAAAGCAAGACAAGAAGCAGTGGATAGAAATTAATCAAGCAAACGACCTAGAACTAAGGAGAAATTGTCTAACACTGAGAATAATTGACCAGCTTGCCTTCAAAAAATTTTGGGTGCTATACCAGTGAAAGCTTTTAAGAAGAGCCTGGACATCTACTTGTCTGGAATGGTATAGGGCTGTGATGGCGAACTTATGGCACGCGTGCCACAGGTGGCACGCATAGCCCTCTCTGCAAGTATGCAAACCACCACCCCAGCTCAGCTCTACTGCGCATGTGCATGCACCTCCCACCAGCCAGCTGGTTTTCGGGTCTCTGCTGCGCATGTGCGGGGGGGCACATGTATGGGGGTGTGGGGAGCGTGGGGTGGTCACGTGAGCATGCGGGGTGGGGTGGGGGGAGTACTGGGGGCACTCCCCCGCACTCCCTGTTTTGGGCCTAGTAGGCCTCCCTCAGCCTCCTGGGAGCAAAAATGGGCTGCGGAGGGACTTTTTAAAATTGCATGCAATAAGGAAGGCACTGATGAGAACTAACTAGCCAAAGGCGAAATGTTTGTTTGCATGCAGAAAACTGTACATGGCTCATTTATAGTGTGCCGAGAAACCATTTTACAATACGCTGCCTCTGATGGCATCCATAGAATTGACCTAGCTAATTTGTACTAGCTAAATCCCAGCATTTTTGTTGGTCATAATAGCTGTGCACAGTGCGAATTGTAATTTAGCACTGTATGCAGAAATGCAAAGTCTCCACCTTCTTGCTAATTTTGGTTCCTCAATCGTGATTTTTCATGTATTGAAAATGACAGTATTTCTTGGATTTTCAGTGGACATAGTTTTGACTGCTAAAGGTAAAGAAGAGAAAGGAGAGAAAGAAAAGTGACAAAATTGAGGAGAAATGGGCAGATTTTACTAAAACAATTCCATCCAGGAAATAAGCTTTTAAGTTTAAGTTTTAACAATTCAGTTGAAGTTTCCAATGCTGCTTGTTCTATCAGCTATTTTTAAAAGCCCATTATAGTCTCTTTATTACATCCAGTGATTGTTTTGGTGCAGTAAACCCAAACCAACTGCTGTTTAGAGGCAAACTTACTCATAGTAGTTTGTTTACTTTGTGGAAATTTGACATAGTTACTTTTAAGAAGCACTTTGGAAGAAGCCAGAGGTGTAGGGGGGAAGTGTAGGGGGGAAGCCTTTCGTTATGAGCTACTTTATGAAAGTTCCCTTTTTGACTTCTAAATGGCACTTTGAGTTAAAATGAAGAAAATGTACCCTGGAACTGATTGATTATTAAATGTTTTGTAAAAGGTCAGCAATTCTTCCATTTCATTCTATTTCTGCAAGATTACATTGCTTCCATGTCATGCTTCTTTGATGAATAGTAAAATACCAAGCCAGCAGTTGGGTGTAAGATTGTTCTCTTTCATTTTTGTTACTTAATTTGCTATGATTTTATTCCTTACCAATTATGATGTGAGAATTTATGAACAATTAGAATGATCTTTTAGAATTCTTCAACCACCTTCCTTTTATCTCTACAGATTGAATCAGCAGAAGTGTCGGGAAATAGTGTGATATGTAGTTTTCTACAGTATTTGGAAAAATCTAAAACATGGCAAAAGGCTTGGTGTGTGATACCTAAACATGAAGCCCTTGTTTTATATATGTATGGCGCTCCACAGGTATGTAAAAACAAATGGAAGCCAGATCATAGTGAAATTCTTTTCTCTCCTTAGGGCAGGCGTGTCAAACTCAAGTCCCCTGGGCTGGATCCGCCCTTAGATTTGGCCTGTGGGACTGCCCTGGAAACAATGAAGGACCAGCCCGCAGGGCCACTGCCACCAAAAACAGAGTTTGGGAGGGCTGCATGTGGCCCTCCCAAGCTTCGTTGTTGCTGGCAGAGGGTTGCAGGGGGCTATTGCAGCTAAAAACTGAGCTTGCAAGGGTCACGGACAGCACTCCCAAGCTGTGTTTTCACTGGCAGAGGATTGCAGGAGGCCATCGTAGCCATAAACAGAGCTCGGGAGCCTGTTGTCACTGGCAGAGCATTTGAGCCAGCACAGGCATCCCTGATCTGAGTGATGTCAAGCTGATCATGTCCACCCTGGCCATGCCCATTCCATCCCCCTGAGGTAAAATACAACTCTAATGTGGCCCTCAATGAAATCGAGTTTGACACCCATGGCTTAGGGCAGTGGTGCTCCTGTGCCAAAAATTGTGTGCGCTTGTGCGTGCTTGTGTACTAGCACCCAGAAGGCAGTGTGCATGCCCTCCCAGCCCCCTGTGCATGTGTGCACAATCCCCCCACCCCTCCTTAACTGCACTGCACCTCCCAGCTGATTTTCAGCATGTTTGAGGCCTTTTTCAGCCTCCCAGAGCCTTTTCAGGCTGAAAAATGGGCCTGTTTCGTCACTTCTGGTATTTTCGGAAATATAGGAAGTGACGAAGGGCCTATTTTTTGCCCTGCAAAGGCTTTCCTCAAGCCTCTGGGAGGCTGAAATAGGCCTCAAACAGGCTGAAAATCAGCTGTGAGGCGCTCACATGCGCATTGAGGTAAGTTTGCTTGCGGTTCGCGTGCTGGCACAAATGCCATAGGTTCGCCATCATAGCCTTAGGGTTACATGATATCCTGCTTACCTTTCATTTATGATTTTGCAACTGTAATTCCTACTCTTTCTGAATTGTATTCTTCCCGCACTGTATGTAAAAGAAGAGCTTACACAATAACAATCAGAACTGGCTATGACTATTGTGTATCTCTCCTCACCTTCTGTTTATAGAGGGTGATATATGATACAAGTAGTCCTTGACTTACAACCATTCATTTAGTAACCGTTCAAAGTTACAACGTACTGAAAAAAAGTGACTTATCACCATTTTCCACACTTTATAACCATTGCAGCATTCCCATGGTCACGTGATCAAAATTCAGGCACTTGGGAATTGGTTCACATTTATGATAGTTGTAGTGTCCTGGAATTATGTGATCCCCTTTTGCGACCTTCTGATAAGGAAATCATCAATCGGGAAGCCAAATTCACTTAACCATATTACTAGCTTAATGATCGTGTTGATTCACTTAACAACTGTGGCAAGAAAAGTAGTGAAATGGGGCAAAACTCACTGAACAACTGTCTCACTTAGCAGCCAAATCAGATGAGGAGGAGGCGTGGGAGTCAGGGTCACCATCAAGGCAACCTGACTGCTCCAAGGGTGAAGAGGAAATGGAGCTGTCAGAGAGAGAGGGGGAGGGAGGGAGAGAGAGAGGGAGGGAGGGAGGGAGGGAGGAGTCTGGGCCATCCATCAGCCCTCAGATGGCGATTCAACAGCCCCCAGGGCTGGAGGTGGCTGATGAGGAAGAAGAGGAAAAGCTGGGTCCAGTGCCTGACACATAGATGCGCAGAAGGCAGAGGAGAGGAGAGCAATGGAAATCTATGGGCCGATCCTTGCCACCAGTGCTAGTGAAGCTCCACCCTAGTTCTGGGGATAAAAGGCAGGGGATGGAGATGAATAGGTGTGTGGCAGACAACTATTATTCTCCCTGCTGGACAAACTTCTTAGCCTGCTCTGTGTGTGTGTGTGTGTGTGAGAGAGAGAGAGAGAGACACTTTTTGCCGGGGCTGCCGGGGCTCCTAATAGCCATTGATTTAACTACAGAGGGTTTGTCATGTTTGAGAGCTGGGTCAGAACAGATCTGTTAATTTTAATCTTGATAGGAATGAGAGCTTTTCCTTCCTCTGTCACTGGTTTTCTCCTGTTGGAAATTAATTACAAGTGCTTCTTTTGGGGGACTCCTCTCAAATGTTGCCTTTTTAAAGTGACCATTTCCGTTTCCATAGGATGTCAAAGCCTTGGCTACTATTCCACTTTTGGGCTATGCTGTAGATGACACCCCAAGAAGTGCTGACCTCCCGCATAGTTTCAAATTGACTCAGTCTAAATCTGTGCACAGTTTTGCAGCAGATAACGAAGAGCTGAAACAGAAGTGGTTGAAAATCATCTATTTAGCTGTTAAAGGTGAAACACCAGATTGCTGCAACGATTCACATTTCAGTTTGGAGGATCAGCAGGAAAACACTGCCAAACTGGAATCCACCAATGGTCTGTAAAGCTGTATTTGTCCCATTCCTATTGGGGTTGACACTACGTTCTAAAACAAGTTTGAAAAGACGCCAGCCTTTCTGCCATGTTTCTTAGCACTTTATGTTGGAAAAGAACAAAAGAGTCCATATTGTTTTAGAGAAATTGTCTTTAACATTTATGTTATGTCAATAAAATCAATGTACAGAAGCATTCCATATTTTCTTTTGATTCAATTAATGTGTTAGCCAAAAAGTCATCAATATTAATCTAATGCTGTTATTTCCAAGATTGTTATCGTACAACATAATACTATTGCGGATGGTACAGCTTTTTTCATAATGAAGTTGATCTCTTGGTAATTTTCTATGAATCATACATGTGTGTTTTTAGATATACCTCCACATTGCCAAATAGATGTGTTGTGAAATCTAAAGTTAGAGTAGCTTACTGCATCTAAATTCTCGCACTATTTACATTGATGTGTTTATAAAAACTATAAATTTTTGTTTGTGAACCAAACAATATCCAGAGTATCTAAACATTTCAAATGATCTATTTAAAAAGCTAAATCTTTCCTGATAATTTTTTTTAATTGAACAATAAGAACATTATATACTGTTTGCAGGGTATGTTTTTACAGGAAAATGTACTATACTCGATTTTGATTTATCTTCATGATACTAAATCAATGCTTGTCTATGGTTTTTAAAAATGAAGCATGCATCCTGTAGAATTTAAGCAGAGGATACTGAATTAAAGAGCTAATTGGTGGCTTGTTTATATAGAATAATATTGGTATTTTTATACATTAATACAGAACTGGAAAGAGTAGTAAAGGCATGTATTGGATGTATAGAGTCTAGCTGTGGTTTGAAAAGCATAACTTCTCAATTCTGTTATCTTTGGAAAGTGGTGCTACATTTTTACAATTATAACTGCTTTAGTAATTATCAGCTTAATCTTAAACAATGTCTTGTGATATCTCTTTTCCCTTTATATTAGCATTTAATTTAATACAGAGATTTGAATATAATGAATCAGTTCAGACTTTGCATCAAATCATGATTAAATAAAATTAAATACATGTTGAGTTCATACATTACACTAAGCCATAAAGTAGTTTGTCTTATGTGATATGTAAAGCCAACTGTAAACCATGATTTATGGCTTAAGATGATGTGGGAACAAGGTGTACTCAATAAAGTATGGTTAAAACTAACCATATCGTAAGAGTTACAGTCAAATCATGCTTTATGCAAAGAAGAGTCTGACTTGACATTTTAAATTAACAAATCATAATTAAAACCATTAATCTTCATTGAAAGACTAGTGCACTGAAGAAATGCTGAATAGACTGACTACGTCTTGTATTTTGAGGTTACATCAGTGGCATGGGTTCTAGCATAATTACCACAGATTATGTGATGATAAGATACTTGAACTGACCACTTACAATTCCTCATCAAGCCATACATATCTTGCTGCAGTTAATGTACTGCAATACGTATTCCAAAATCATAAAAATGGGAAGCAGATTGATTAATATGCACCACATTTACAATGCATTTTATAGAATAACAGAACGTGATTTTAAAGTTGTGCGAAGAGTAATGTTTCTGCAAAGCTGGGAAATATGTGTTTATACCTTACTTTAAAAACTTTCTTGAAGAAGTACTATCTTTATGCTGGAATTTCCCATTTCTTCTTGGCACTTTCCTGCAAGTGTGCTTTTTTCAGATCAGTTGAATGTCCATCCACTGGTTGTGACAAGAATTGACTGACCAGTTTGTCACCGGAGCCTGACAGTTTGGGCTGAAAGAGAGTGACTGGCCCAAAGTCACACAGCCAGCTTTCATGGCTAAGGGGGGACTGGAACTCACAGTTCTCTGGTTTCTAGCCTTAACCAGTAGACCAAACTGGCTTTCACAGCTTATGCTGTATCTTGTACTTTTTGTTTGGGAGTTAGCTTTATTTAATTCAGTTGGAATTACTTTCTATGTAAAGATGCATAGAACTGTACTGCTGATTAAGCTTTGCAATATTGAACTAATAATTAAGCTAATATATAACAATGGTATTATTTTATGTTACTAGTTATTCGGAACATTTTATCTTTCATTGCTAGAATGATATGCATGCAACAATCATAAGCCAGTACTGTGGGCAGTTAAAACTACAGGTCAAACAGCCACTTTCTAACTGGAAAAAGACATAATTTGTTGAAATTTTCTACATTTTTAAATACTCAGTAATATTAGATGGGAAAATTATGATCAAAAGTTTTAATTGAAGATGTGTTCAGGGTTTCTACATTTTATTTAATTGTACAATCCCTTTTGCTAAGCATTAAGTGTGTAAAATGTCATAACACGTGTAACATAAGCATGGATAGCCATTCAGCATCTCTCTGGCATCTTCTCCCAGATAACCAGTCAAATTTTGAAATCTGGTGGCCCAGATGCGGATTGATAACAATGCTCTTCCTTTCTCCAAGATACTTTTTTTGGGGGTGGGGGGGTGAATACAAACTTTAAACTATCCTTTTTATTTTTAACTAAAGTCTACTTTGTGTCAAACATGATTTCTGTTGTCAAGAAACTTTTAGAAGATCATGTCATAAATTGCCATTTCTCAATTTTCTTGAGGCTAATTTATAGCTTTTATTTATTCCTTGGTTTTTTTTTTCATCCAAGTACTCTTAGCTTTGAAAGTCAGACAAGATTGGCCAAATGCTTAATCCCTCTCCCTAAAAGTTGTCCAAAAACTGGCCCTCTCTTTAAGGTCATGTTGTACCCTTATAGATAGGATTTGCTCTAATAAGACACATGCTTGCTCTAATAAATAAAAACAGGATTTGCTTTAATGTAGATTAAAGGTAGATTTAAATGTAGAATTGAAACACATATCCCCACTGTCAGAGCCCATCTTTCAGAGTTTGGTATGAAATTAACTAATTCACTGTTGTTTAGCTTTTGTAGATGGGAAAGATGTAAGCATACAGAAAATCTATCCACGTTTATACTGTTGTGTAATTTGATGATCTTTGGTTTTATCATATGCCCAACACCAGAGCTGAGAGATTTTGCAGATCTGGGACAATAACATAAAAGTTAGTTTTTAGAGAAGTGAATGGTTTATATTCAGTTTCTTGTGTGCATGGTTTTAAGCATATGACAGAAAGAAAATTGAGTTTACCTTTCACCTCTTACAACTTTTGAGCCTTTGAGGTCTGTCCAAAGTCTTAAGTTCATGATGACATTCCTGTTGCCTCTGAATGGAATTATCTACCAGTCTTTAATTCAAATGTCCTTTTTTGAAGGACATTCAGAACTTTATGTCTTCTAAAGAATGTTCATCAATCTTATATTGCTTATTAAGATGTAAATTTTGTTTCCTAACAAATAATATATTGACCCAATGTCTATGGAGATTCTCAACCATCCAGGTTATGGTTACCCCAAAAGTGTTTTTCCAAAGGCACCTGGATTTTCTTGGTTTTTCTTTGAAAATGACTTGCTTCTCATCCAAGAAGCTTCTTCAATTCTGAAGAACGGATGAGAAATGAAACGTTTTTGAAGAAAAATCTGGAAAGTCCAGTTGCCTTTTGCAAAGCAATTTTGGGACATGCTAACCTGATATTCTTTTATTCTACAAAAGAAAGGGTTTTTTTCATGACTTACATATAGTTCTTTGACAATGAGGTTTATAATGAGCAAAATCCTTACACACATATATAAGAATTCTATGTTGTCAAATAAATGATAGGCAACCCTTTGCGACCCAACTATGTATTGCTCCTTCCTTTGAAATATTTTCTTGATAGAAAATGTGCAAAACACAAAGCAATTCTAACATGAGTTAAGTGCAAATGTTAAAAAGCTCTCAATGACAAAGCTAGTGGCTTTCAGCATTTGAACTCAATCTATTATTTGCATGTAGCAACTTCATTGTATATGTACTTGTCTCAGAAAATCAACCTGGAGGGTGAACTTTGGGCTTCTAGTTACCTTTCAGGAAATAGGGTAGCCTATCTTCTGGGAATCATATTTGAAAGCAGGCTTTCTTCTATTAAGATAAACAGAATTCACAGTGATCTCAGTTATGCAGCATACTACCTCATATGGGCTCCATTTGAACCCTTGAGGAGTGGATAAGGGAGAGATTTCCTTTAACCTCTCCCTCGTATATTAATAAAAAGCACATGATTAGCACTTAGGAGAGAGTAAAGGCTGTGTAAGCTTCAAAAATGATGTAGAAGAAGTGCTTCAGAACTTGGTGGGACAGTGGTGTGCTACTACTACTAAAAAATACCCCAACTTCTTTCAAGCTTTTCATGAGCTTGAAAAAGATGTTTTGCTCCTTTAAAAGTCTCCTTAGCTTTTACCATGCTGGCTGGGGAGTTCTGGGAGCTGAAGTCCACACATCTTGAAGCATCTAAGGTTGAGAAACATTGCCTTAAGGAGAGGATTCTTTAAAGGAGCAGCACCATTTTTTTAAAAGTTCAGGGTAAAAGCTGTAAAGTCAGTCTATTTTAATCAAGAGCTGCAAAATAGTGCATTTCTTCAAAATAATTTTCAAAGTGTGCATAGCCCTAAGAGAGAGCACTTTCAGGATGTTGAGCTTCCTAAGCACACACTCAGAAAAAAAAGTTTGAAATAAATTAATGAGATGTATAGTACTTGAACGTTATTGCAATCTGATTGAAGTTGTTAGATTCTAAGGTAAAGCACAACTAATAGTGATTTGAAATGAAGAGATGATAAAACTATAATCTAATTTTTGTAATCTGACTTCAAAATCTTTTAAATTGTGTTTTTTCCACCTGAAGTATTTGGAAAGATGAAGATAGATAATTAATATTGATATTACAAACTAGTTGTATAATTCCTTTTTCTTACCTGCTGACTTTAATTTCTCTATTTCTATTTCATTCTGCATAACATTGCTTTCCCTGAAAATAATGTACATATGTAAGTAAGCATTTAGAAAATGATAATTCTATGCTTTTTTTTCTCTTCAACAATCCCACAGGGTAAGAATTACTTTACCCTAAGTAGGTTTAAAGATATTGTATCACTAGGGACAATTGGATGTTGTATTTATTTTTGATGGATGTGTCTTGTTGCTGATTAAGTTACTATTTCTTCAATTGGAATCTGTGTTCAGTTCCTTCAATACGTAGTCATCTTGCAGCAGGACTTATGAATACAGGGGTGGATTTGTGTGTGTATAAGCTAAGGCAGGGAACTCCAAACTTGGCAACATTAAGACTTGTGGAATTCTGGGAGTTGAAGTCCACAAGTCTTAAAGTTTGGAGTCCTCTTGAGCTAAGAGATGTCTTTTTGGAAGCAACTCACCACCCCTTTGTTTTTCCTGGAATGCTTACTGTGTTCTTGGTATAATAGTCAGAATATCCTGTTTTTAAATTAAAGTGTGCACTAACAGAAAAACCAATTTTCTGTAAAACTCAGTAGTTAAACTACCCTAATTTAAAAGCACACATATAGCTTCCTTTTTTATAGCAGTTTCCAGATTAAAGCTCTCTTTAAGTAGGATGGGAAAACATTTCAGTTTGTATTAATTGCCTGTGAAGTTTTTGTGAGCTTGGTTTGGGTGCTTTTGCAGATTTGAGTTGGTGCTCTTTCTGTGAAATTCCCAAATCTTCTCATTTTTATTTAATGATCTATCATTCTGATATGCCTGGTATTTAAATGAGCAGCCTTTATAATTCACTGTGCACCTTGGTCAACAGATGAAAGGGATATTTGTGATGTCCTTTAGCTTTCAATTGTTAAGCATTTAATTGACATGCTGCGAATTGCAATTGAAGATCTAGCAGAAATTCCTCTTAACCCAGGAACTGAAATCTGTCTTAATGGCAGGTGTGGAGACTGGAAGAAGAATCAGAAACAATTATAGTTAATGTTAAATTGCTTAACAAGGCTAGTGGAGAAGGGGAGAACGTCTTCCATGGAGTGACATTAATAGTCAAATCTGGCTCCCAGTTTGTTAATTATTTAGCAAGGAAACCTATTTTTGCATAAGCCAATTACAGAATTAGTATAGTAAGTTACCAGAAATTCTGAATATTTCTACTTTCAGTTTTTCCTCTTCCCAGCCAATACAGTATAAAGATGGAATATTTCTGGAACATATTAGATTATCACAGCTAATTATAAAAAATGTTGAGTGTGCATGTGACATATGATGAAGCATGTTTCTTTAGTGCATTATTTAAACACTTTGCTCCCTGCATTCATGGAAATGTTTCTACCATATCTGTTTATTATTGCTCAAGTACAAATGAATTGCAAGATGTATTAATTTTCTCATTTCAATAAGCTTAGTGTGAATCTACACCTGAGTGTCAGATTTGATATAATTTAAGATAAAAAACACTGAACATCATCTTGCCAAAGTTAGGTAAATGGCTATCAATGGGAAAGCCACTTAGTCTCACTGAAAAACAACTTATGTGCCACAAAAAATGTTATTTAAGCACAGCGATACCAAATGTGACGATCACTTTTAAAAATAGCACTTCTGTTGTTGATATTCTCCAGTATAAATAAATGAAATGGTCTGTAATGCAATGCTTTTTTTTGATAGCTTTAGCACTGTTGACTTATTCTTGCTGACCATTAAACAAAGTTATGATCTTAGTGGTACTGTTGGAAATTTTCATGTAGTTTTGATAGGTTTGTAGCACACCACATTGCATGCACAATTCCTTTCCCCTCTCTGGAATAATTCCTTTCATGACAAGGCTTGATTTATGCTAATATTAAAGAATCAAATAAACTGGAAAGTGTGTAACCAAAGCAAGTAATTGGTTTGCCAGTAGAATAGACCATAGTTACAAGTGTCTCTTAAAAAAGTGCCTAAAAAGGTAGACATGTGAGCCCAATATTCATTAATAATCTTATAGTAAATTTTGGAGCTTCCCATCTTCTGCAATTCCTGACATTCAAGAGAAGCTGGGCAAAAGATCCCTTTTAATCTTGCTAGTCTTTTCTCAAGGAGCAGTCTTCCTCAACGTAGGTGAGTTATCTTATGGCTTCTCCTTATCCAGAAAAGTCTCATTCTTATTGGTGCAGGCGTTGTCTTTGCCACTAGACAAAGTCATGTTAGCCTTCCATTGTTCTACCTGTTACCTTAAAGGGATATGAAGAGAGATTGATTCACCGCTTCTCTTTAAGCTGTCTAGGATGGGAATTTAAAGCAATTGATCCATTAATTCATTAAATCAAATTATTAGGAGCAGCTAGCTGTAAAAGTTGACTTCCTTCAGTCTTGCCCCACAAGTGAGTCTTGAATGTCTGCTTCATCTGAGGAAGTTAAAATGGTCTTTTTCCTCAAGCCTGGCCTTCAGCTTGGCTTCCCAGTTAGCAGCCCCTTTCTGGAAGAGCATCTTCATTTTCCATCAAGAAAGTGAACTGTTTCAAGGCTAGCCCTCTTTCAAAGGGGAGTATAGAAGGACTGGCAGTTAAAAAAAGGGATCAGCCTAGAAACCCTATGTAGCCAGAAGCAAATTAAGCCCCCCCCTTGATTTCCATTGACTCTTATTTAACTCCAAGCAGGTGCTGTTCATTGAGAATATTCCTGTGCGTAGGCATGAATAGTACCTGACCAATTTAACTGGATCTTTATGTGTGGACCACCTAATCTTTTGCCCTTGATAGGGGAGGTCTAAATGGAGAAACCCAGAAAGTATCTTCCAACGTTTGCTTCTACCTGTCCTCAACTGTTATACCTAGCATTGAGGTTTATACACACTTGGGCTTTGAGTTGGACTGCAACTGCATTAAATACTAAACAGCTGGATATACTCTTTCTTTCTCTCCTCCCTGCACCCTACCCTACCCCCAACTTAAGCACATAGGAACCAAATGTGAAAATACTCTCTGATTATGAGCCTTACATCCAAGGACTGTGGTTTCCCTTCACACCTTCCCCAGGTAGATTCTTGTCTGAGGAATTCGTGCATTGGAATTCCCTCTGATGGAGCTCCAGAGCTAGGTTAAGCCTTCTGTGCGTAAGAAAGAATTATTGTCACTGGCAAAGAAAGGATCTTAGTTGCCAGGCTTTACAAAAGAGACACCAGAAAAAATTATTTGATTCTAGGACAGGGGTCTCCAACCTTGGCCACTTTTAAGACTAGTGGACCACAAATCTTAAAGTGGCCAAGGTTGGAGATCCCTGTTCTAGGACATGCCATCCTTGCACATTATGGTAAATGCACCCACCTATTTAATAACTAAACAACACTTCCTCCTGGCCCATACATGCATTGTTAAAATCCTTAATTTGTCATGACACTATGATTTATATACAGTATATTGATATTGTAGAAATGAATACAAAATATATGTTTGTTATGGCTCACATTGAGATTCATTCATACTTGAGCTTTAAATTGGGTGGCAATTGTATTAAATAGTAAATAACTGGATATAGAAGGCGGGAAAACAATCACTGCCTCTGAAATCATCTACTCAAATAATTGCTTCAAATTGATTTATAAGAGACATTCTGGTATGTACTATTTTTGCTATCATTTTTACCATCTGCCCTCAGTTAGCTTCCAGTGATACAGTAGATGGGATACAGTCTGATGGGATATTTTGATTAAATATTGCTTTGGTCTAGAGTCTCACACATCATTAAGCCACTGCTTGGTTAAACATAGTTTACTGAATAAACTATAGTAGTTGGTTGCACAAACCCAACTGTGAATCTGATAAACCAGAGCAGCCAGTTTTATCCAACATGCTAAGCTGAAACTAAGTACTATCTGGCAATGTAATGTAAATATCCAATGACTTGAAATCAGTGGTTTCAGGTTAGAGCCAACATGTGTTAAGTAAAGGGGTCCATTGGCTCAGTAGTTAAAAGACCCTGAGCTTTTCAGCTGGAAGTCTTGAGTTTGAGACCAGGGCACCACGCAATGGGGTGAGCTCCTTTTACTTGCCTCAGCTCCTGCCCAATTAGCAGTTTGGAAGCATGCAAATGTGAGTAGATTAATAAGTACCACTTTGGTGGGAAAGTAATAGTGTTCCATGTGCCTCAGTGTATAGTCATGCTGACCACATGAGCATGGAAAGAATCTCCGCACAACATTGGGTTCCTCTGCTAAGAAATGGAGATGAGCACTACCCTCCAGAGTCAGAAATGACGGGACAAGGAAAATCTTTACCTATGTTAACTAACCAGGTTTAATGTTGAGATGATGGAATTAAGGACTTAGATTGTGTGTACTGTTTCCCTAGAGAAAGAACTACAACAGTAGAAATAATCAATTGTTTCAGCAGACATCATACTGGGGCATTTTTCCTGTCTTTGTATCTAAGGAAATATTTGTTTAGATCAGTATTTCTAAATCTCAGTCACTTTAAGATGTGTGGACATCAACTCCCAAAATTCCCTCAGCCAGCATTGCTGAATTCTGGAAATTGAAGTCCACGCATCTTTAGGTGACTTAGGTTGAGAAGCACTTAGATTGTTAATGTGAATGAAGAGCCACCACTTGATAATCAGAGAAGAATCGTTAGATTTCAGCTCTTTCATTTCATTCTTATTTCTTGGTAGTTTGATAAACTGAAACATGCATAAGCACATACACCAGCAGTAGTAGTTTATTACACACACACACACACACACACACACACACTGTATGTATGTGTGTATGTGTGTGTGTGTGTATATATATATATCTACCTACATACCTACAACTGAGGAATCAAAGTCCTTTTCTCCTTCTAGGTTGTATTATATGAACAGATGTTAACAGTATTATAATTTTATAATTATTTGGAGAGAGTGTTGGTTAGCTTTAAATGTTTTACATTTACAATATTTTGCAGAATATTTAAACATTAATCAGCAAGTCCCCATTGTATATATTTTCAGTGTCACTTTGAAACTGGCTTGTTTAATTTGTTCTGCTCCCATTCCTAAAGAGTAGAGGTACTGTTTTCGCTAGTTCATTGTTGAAGCAATTGCTTTTGAATTTTTAGAGAAAAAAAGTGTATATATATTTTCTTGTCTTCTATGTGGGGTTCTATTAGATGCATACAATATTTGTGGTAAATCAACAGAGAAGTAGAAGATTTTTCTCACAGTATCCTAGCAAAGAACAGGCTGATAGTAATTTGTATTACCCACTATAGCAAACCAAACTTACCTTCTCCAAAAAAAAAATAATAATTCAGAAGCTCATCTGTTTGTAAATTCACTATATTGAGTGGCGATAAAGGTAATCCTAGATTTATAACCATTCGTTTGGTGACTCTTTGAAGTCACAATAAGCACTGAAAAAAGTGATGTGTGATATTTTCCACACAATCATGGTCACGTGATCAGAATTTGGGCACTTGGCAACTAGCATGTCTTTATGACAGTTGTGTTGTCCTGGGGTCATGCGTATCACAATTTGCAACCTTCCCATCCAGCTTCTGACAAGCAAAGTCAGTAGGGAGAAGCCAGATTTGCTTAACAACTGCAAAATTCACTTAATCCCTGTAGGGATTCGCTTAACGGTGGCAAAAGGGTCACAAAATGAGATGTAACAACTGCCTTGCTTAGCAATGGAAATTTTGAACTCCACTGTGGTCGCAAGTCGAGGACATTTTGCAGTTAAGCAGGGAGGCCCTGGAATGGGAGACTGGATGTGTGTAAAAGCTATTAACTATCTTATTCCAAACTCACAGAGGTGTTCGGAGTATTGTAGACTTAAAGGTTGTGGGGATTATACTTTGAATGCTGCCTACATAATAACCAAGTCAAGCTTAGGGGACAATACATTACAGGTAATGCTTTGGAATATACGTCTATTTATTCAGAGAGTGATTTCTAGAAGGGCTTTTTCACTTTTTTCTTTACCACAAATAGATTCTAAAATATATGGAAAAAAGAAAGAAAGAAAAAGTAACATTTAAAATGGTGAATGTGTTTAGCTTTACCAATTGATAATATGTACATGTATGTAAAATATTTGCAGATATTTGTATACATTTCTGTAATATATGTATATTTGGTTAATAATGGTGGGAGTGGACTACTGTAAAATTACGCACTTTAATTTCTGTTGAAAATTTTAAAGAAATTTGTAATCCTGTAAAATAAAAGCAACAATCCATCAGTAATTGTTCTGCAAGTTTCATATTGTGGAGTTTCATATTTTTATAAAAATAAGACTGGCCGTATTAATGATGGAATCATGTGTAAACTGCACGCAATGCTATAGTTCATTTTCAAAAACAAGGAATAATTTGGGCTGGGTAAAACACAAAAATATCTTATTTCTTAAAAATATACTCTGCATAACAGCAGCAGCAGTGTGGTCTAATAATTATTATTATTGGACTAAGACTTGGAAGGCCCATATACAAGATTAATCTCAGGAAAACACCTCATAGACAAAACACCTATTGGGGGGACAAAATGGATATGTTTATGTCATACAATTTCAATTGAGATGCTAGAAACTTTGACAATTATAAAATTACAAATCTGATCAATGGCTTTTTTTTTCTCAATTGGGGCAATCTACAAACTTGGGGAAAAAAAGAATGATTTACCAGACAGGATTGAGGTGTTGCAAAATCTACTTTAGAAACCAAGCTGTAAGTAGCAGAACATGCAATTAGGTTGTTGTGTGAGAGATGGGAAATATCTGTTAAACCCCTTCCTCATTTACATACACTTTAGTATTCCCAAAATATAAGCTAGTTTTCGCAGATTTGCCACGCATTACAAGATGACTGACCTCTGTTTGAAATCCAGGTAGATTTCTGTTTACGTGAAGCTGTTCTGTATGAACCTTCTCTTCCTCTTCATTCTCTGAAAATTTCTTACTCATTATTTGATTTTCCAAATCAGGAAGCCTCCACAGGCAACTTCTAGTTTATCTTCCTTCCAGTAATCTCCCAGGCCTTATAGTGCATTTGTGACTCTGAGAGCGCTTCCACATAGGATGTGCTCAAAAGCAGCTCTGGGTTTTAATCCCTCCATAACTGAGCTGATTTTTGAATCCGTTTCAGAACAACACAATTGGATGAATTTTCTGGTTGTCTCTGGACACGTGTTAAGTTCTGATATGATTGAGGACAGCTAATTTCCCGATTGTGACAATACTTCCCACCCTTCTTCCAGGTGGCAGTTTCAGCCTAAGTTAAGGAAAACAGATAAATTAATAAAGAGTTTTATCTTTTTTGTCCTCTCGGGAGAAACCAGGCATCATGAGTACTAGCTATCTGGACTTTTAAATGGCTTGGGTAAGAGGTGAAGAAGGCTGGATGTAGAAATGCTTCAAAATGAGTTCCAATTCTTGCAGCCTAAAAAGCGTGAATTTTGTTTAGAACTTGACATTTCGGTCAATGTTGCAAACTATATGTTCTTTCAAGGCATTCAGAAAAAAACCCAGTTGCAAAGAGGAGGCCATGTACTCTTCCCAACTCAATTCAGATCTTTAATACAAGAAGAATAATTATACAGCCGGGTACCTTCACCCATTGCAAACATTTATTTTGGGACAAGACAGCCCACAAATACAGTTAAAGAAGAAAGAAGCCCCCAGAATTCAGGGTTGGAATTAGTGAAGAGGTTCAGCAGGCCTACTTCAAATTATTTTGAATCAGCATTCATTCAATGGGGTTGCTAATTTTCACTAGATAAAGAAGGTGTACTATATTTATTAGCCAAAAGCAGCACGTTCCATTATTTTGAATTATTTTTCATTTAACCGCCAAGTGTTGTGTATCAAGTTTAAAAAGTAATATTACAATATTCAGTATAATCAAAGGCCTTGATTTCAAAAGTAACTTTGCTCCATTTTCTGGTTTTCTGGCGGCCATTGGGAGTTTCCACCACAAAATTTTTAATGGCCAACATTGGAAGTATGAAATCCCGGTGGACCATTTCCACTCCCCAAATCTGCAGGAACACAAATACATTTAGCCTCTTTACCAGGTTAAGTAAGTCACAACACAGATTTCCACCTTTGAGGGAAATGTCAGTGAACTATAGAAAAATTCATCTCCCAGTGTTTGAGCTGCCCTGATTTTACCAAAGAGCAGAACAGAAATAATGCAGATTGCAAAAGCCCATCCCAGCGTACAGGGATACTCCTGTATTCTTCTCCTTCTTCTTTCTTCCTTCCTTCCTTCCTCCCCCCCTCCTTCCCTTCCCTCCAGAACCCACAGATTGACTGCTAGAGATTTTCTTCAAGGATACATAGCATTTAACAGGACAGATGTTCTCTGCCCCTACCCCATTTTTAATAGTCTGAGAGTTACATGTTATGCTAAATCATGGTTTCTTGGATAAACTAGAATTGCTGGATTCACCCAAGATGACAAACTAAATCAAAATAACATGCATTAGGGCTTTAAGCATAATCTCAACCAGAGACTACCTAATAATTATCTACTGAGTTCTTGTGCCAAGCTAAGACCATGCAAAGCTTTCCTAAATGCACAACCATCAAATTGTGGAAGTTTACCTGAGACCCACTTTCTTCTCTGAAACCTTTAACAAGCTTTGGCTTCACATTCCAATTTCCACAGACAGATAAAGCCTGTTAAATCCCTGTCCTTGATGAACACATTCTGCAACATCCTTTACAGAAACCCAAAACAACAACAATAATAGAAGGAACAATCATTGGAGGGAAACTTTACTGAGGTCTGCCATGAAACAAATTAAGGCATGGAATATTTACAGAATATGACCCTTGGGATTTTAGAAATAAGTTTGATTTGAAAAATTAAATTCAAAATCCATCTACCTAGTCCTTCTCACTGGCTTGCCACTTTCTCCTCCCTAACATTTATTTCTTCACAGAAACAAGCAAAATAAGTATATTTAGAAAAAAATGAGTTCAAACTGCTTACCTGCCCACATTTCTCACAACTGATGGAATTGCCTAGCTTCCAGTCTTTGAATTGGCGGGAAATTGCCACACAATCTTGTGACTTTTTGTAATAGAGGCTGCATAAAGAACAATTGGGCATTCTGTAATCTTTTACTACTAAGGCAGCTGAGTGTGCAATTCTTGAAAAAAAACAAGCCCTGACTGACAGTTTTTGGAAAGGGGGTTCTTTGCTGAACTTTTTCCCATCTTATGTTGAAAGTAGTGCCTCTGTACACATATGGATTTACATGCAGATAACATTTATTATATTTGGCCTCAGTCAATCAGATGTTCAGACTGTATTTGGCATTTTTATAGACCTGAGATAGACAGGTGTGTTAAAGGTATGTAAGCTGTTCCAAGTTACCTTTTGCAAGAAACTGATGGTGAAGCTAAAGGACTGGCTTTCTCTACCCTAGTGCTCTTCAGATATTGGATATTTCTCTCAGCTCTCATTCATGAGAGGTAATTTCACAAACTATTTGGAGGGCATCAACTTGAAGAAGGTTGCTGCAGAGTTGGGACAAACTTGTTTAAATGGAGAAAGCAAGATATGCTTCCCGATAGAACTAGCAACACACACACACACACACACACACACACACACACACACACCATTTCATAGTGGTTTACAGTAATCTCTAAGTGGTTTAGAGTCAGCATATTGTCCCCAACAATTTTATCGACCTTGGAAAGATGGGCAGTTGAGTCAACCTTGAGTCGGTCAGACTTGAAGGAATTGAACTCCTGGCAGTTGGCTTAGCAATACTGCATCCTAACCACTGCTCCATTGGCTCTTCCCAATGTTATAAATAGAGTCCAAAAGCATAGAGCAACTAGTCACTTCTACTTTTCCTCACCTGAAGTTGGGATTAATGTTGATGTGGTGCATATTCTCTATTTTGCGCAGGTCACTTGCACGGCAGACGGCCAGGTTGCAGTTTAGGCAACAGAAAAGTACACTGTCTGGATCGTGTAGCTGGCGCTGCTGCTCAAGTTTGATATCCCGCAATTTCCTGCTGATCATGCCTTCATGCTGCAATTTTGCAATCTATTGGAAAGAATCAAAGAATCTGTGTTCCATGCATATGAATGTATGGTACAGTATGACTTCATTCTGCAGGTATCCAAGATTGCTAAGTGATGGCAAGACTAGTGCTCCCAGTTACCACTGTTAAGCAACTATCATGGGTTGTTAAGCAAGGACTTCCTTGCAATTTCCTTCCAGCTTCCAATGAGCAAGATCAATGGGGAAGCCAGCAGGAAATACCCATGGGCTGTCAGACTTCTGAACGGAAAATAACTTCATGCCAACATAGTATGATAGTCTTGCAGGGCTGGTGCATTGTGCAACAAGGTCACATAGTGTAATAAGATTGGGACTGGATTAGGGACTTCTGTCCTCACTGTGAGTTGTGTTCGGTGTGTGTGTGTGCACGAAGGGAGGCTCAGCCAATCTCAATGTACACATGTTGTACTCTGACAATAATGTTAATGATAATAATGATGATGATAACAACAACAATAATAAAAATAAAAATAAAAAAATTGCAAGTGCCAGATGGCTGGCAAGGAGACTGACATGTAGGTAAGTGATGATTGCTGCCTGGTGCAGGAGAGTATACATGCTGAAAGAAGGGGCTTGGAGTGGTTGCTGCAGGAATGTGTGAGGAGCTGATGACATGAGCATGAGATGCCTGTGGCACTGTGTACAAGGATGCACAACAAGTCAGTGAGGTATTGCACCAGTGGGGGGACGGTTGGAGGTGGTTGCTGCAGAGTGGGAAAGTCTTACCCAAGTGACTTGTGATTTTGTGATTTTCCCTGCTGACTTCCCCATTGACTCTTCTTGTGACTGTGGGATACTGCAACCATCATAAATAAAAGTCAGTTGCTAAGCAGATTATGGAAATGATTTACCAATTGTAAATATGTGTTCAGTTGCATCACAGACTACTTGAATTGGAAACCTCTCATTGAATCAGTAACTTCTCAAACTATGGAAGAAAAGACCTATAACAGCTTTCTCTTAAAGAAAAGGAGAAGTCAGGGAAGATTCTTTAAAAATTGATAGTGGTTGTAAAATCAAACAACTCCCCAATCTTCTGGCACGTATTGTTTCAAAATCCATGTAAGTAGCCTGAAGTTCATCTGTAATGTTCTATGATCCTCAACTAGTCCATGGTTCAGATAAGAACTCCACACCACCGGAACTACAGTACTTAAAACTTCCTGCAATTCTTTTTATAAGTATCCAGATATGTCTCTAAGATAACATTGAAACTAGGCTTCCAAATTAGGGATTCCGTGAGTTCCAATCCTTAACAAATAGCTCAAAGTCTCCCCCACTTAGAAGACTGTAATTTGAGACTATGAGCCACAATTATGGTGATGTAGAATGGCAGCAAAATAATAGATAAGAGTACATTATTACAGCATGTCAGAATCTGTCTTGCTGTGTTTCCCGCAAAATTAGTACTTTATTCTTATTCTTTTTCAAAGCCTAAATATCAAAGGCCACTTTCTTGGCCTTTCCAGGAAGTTCTTTTTACCCTTTGGTGGTATTCTTCCTCAGGCATCTCCTGCACCCATTTTATGGCACTCTCCATTAGGATCTCCAAAGTTTCATTAAGCCTCTCACGGGCCACCTCCTTGCTGTTGGTCTTGGCCAAAATAGAACAGATGCTGTTTGGGGCACGGGCACGGCCTCTGGCCTTAAGAAAGAAAAAGAAGAGCACCTGCATTCATCTCCAAAGATCAAGCCCACAAGTGGTCCACTTGTCCTCAAGAACAGGGGTCTCCTTCCTCAGCAAAGCTGAGGAATTCTGGGAGTTGAAGTCCACAAGTCTTGAAGTGGCCAAGGTTGGAGACCCCTGATCAAGAACATACGTGGATCAATCAAAAACTACCCTTCAGTTGAACTCTTACTGTTCTCAATGACCCAGCATTAGCAACACCCCTTCTTTCCCTTCCAGACTCCTTCTGCAGGTGTCAAGGTGCATTTTAGTAAGGTTCTCAAAATTGACTGACCTGCATCATGGCAATTTCATTTGTCATTAGCCCGTAACGGATTATGATATTACACTCAGGAATGTCCAGCCCTTCCTCAGCCACGCTGGTAGAAAAAAGAAGGTTGAGTTGCCCTTTTCGGAAGCGTTGGATAACGTCTTGTTGTTCTTGCTGAAAGAAACACCCAAGACAAAATTAGAAGGCTTTTTTTATTTGACCCTGGAGTGAAATTGGGATGCTCAATCCCAGAAACACTTTTACCAGAACTTATTCAACTAGTCTATAGACAGGGGTGGGAAACTATGGTTCCTTTATGAACTGTGGACTTAAATTCCCAGAATTCTGAGCATGGCTGGCTCAGGAATTCTGGGAGTTGAAGTCCAGAGGTCATATAGGGGCTATAGTTCCCCATTCCTGGTATAGACTACATCTGGCAAGGCCTTTCTTTTTTCTTAAGGCATTCTGTGCCATAGGATTTCATTGCAGTGTTAAGTTTCTGTCTTGCCCAAATAATAGCACGTTTAATTTGATTTAAATGTCATATTGCGTTACTGTATTTACTCTTCTTTTGCAGTAACCTAATAAAACAAATCAATAATATCAGTAGTATTGTATAGTAATATAATGTAGTAAGAATTGTTATCTGTCTGCACTTTGCTAAGATTTCCTCTTGGGAGCTACCCAAGGCATCCTTGGTGAGCAGAAAATCAGATTTAAGGAATGACTATTTAAAGAGTTGATGTGTCCCCAGCAGTACTTATAATTCAGGGCTGTGCAATATTTTCAATTCAAAGGCAAAAAGGTGCTTTAAAGTATGGGGAAATGTGAATGTAAACTTCTTGACTAAGTTGCATCAAATGATAGCTTGTACGTGAGACCCACCATTACAGATTAGTTGTCATAGAAAGAACTTTAGTTTCCCCAAACATCACTTCTATAGCGATAATTGCTGCTGGAGTTCCTTGATATATTCAGCTATGAGGCTACAAACCATGAGAAATCAATCCATCATGTTTGTGAGACTTCTGATATTCAAAGCTCTTTTTTATGTACGTAATGGTTGTGAAAATGACTTTGGAGACTGGGCAAAGAGACCTTGCAAAGGGAACAATCAGGTAACGAAACACCATAACCCACAGCTGGATAGTGGATGAGGCAAAGACCCTCCCTAGTCTCTTGGTTGTGAAGAAGGGAAAAATATAATTTTTAAACTTCCAAGGTTCTGTCACTGAAGCAAAAAAGTAAAATTAAGTAATCTGGTTGTGGTTCCTATCCAGTCTGCCCTGCAAAGCTTCTGTTTTATCTTAGCCAAGAAAAGCTAAAACTACAGTAGTTCAGAAAACTACAGAACATATTTACTATATTGTTTTGGAAATACCCTGACAAAGTTCCCCAAGTCATGTGTTTTCTGGGGTCCTAAATATTTTTTCCTGCTTAAATAATGCCGGAGTGAAACATTTTTGAGTAAATGTATGTACCCAACAGGGCTCTATTCCACACTAAAACTGGGAAGATATTTTAAAAAATAACTTGGCGTGACTCAGTACTCAATTATTACTAATGCATTAAAGTTTAACTAGCCAGTTGAACCATGTACAAGTAACAAAGGAATTGAGCTGTCCATTGTGGTTTTAGCATTAATTTCACTTTTAGAATTAAGGTAAGGAGCAAAGGCTATTCCCTGTCAAATTAGCTCTCTGTTTCAGACCAGATTCCTTGCTTGGTCATAACCAAACCAAATTAAAGACAAATAATTTTTCTTGGATATTTTCTATTCTTGATTTGGAAAAGAATATTTACTAGATCAAATGAATGAAAAAGGGTAATGTTGCAGGATCCAATCTGAGTCGGTCACTGGGATCAGAGGTTTTTTTTCTTCCAAGCTTTTGGACTCATGCTGGATCCGCCCTGAGGATGGGCTCCAGTAGGAGCTCAAAAGGCTTGGAAGAACAAACCTCTGGTCCTGATAACCAATTCAGATTGGATCCTGCAAGATCAAATGAAATTATGCATGGAGAAATGTCCTTTGTCATAGTGCATACCCTTATGAATGGGCTTTCAGTCTTTTGGGGGGTCTCATCCCTATTAGACTTACAGTAGATCTGGGAATGGGATAGAGGCTTTTCCACATTTTTTTTGTAGACTTACCTGCGTCATGTGTTTTGTCTGACTGCTGGAGCCAACCCCAGTTAGAACATCAGACTTGATCCCAAGTGCACACAAAGCCTGGTTGCCCAGGACCCACTCATGTAGTGAATAAGCACTCTGGCGTCTCCAGGTGAACACAATGCCCCGTGAGCTCTTCAGTTCTTGGAACTGGTCTTGCAGGACTTGTTGCAGCTTGTCAAGTTTGGGATTCTCGTAGCGACTGTCTTTAGCAAGGGCCAAGAAAGACAACCTGTTCTCTGTAAACCAAAGGGGTCTCAAATATGGATGAGCGGCAAGAGAATCATTCCTGAATCTGACACGTATCTATAATATTTCTTGATCCTGTATCTTAGTCAGTATTTAACCCAAAAGATTAACGTAGGTAAAAAGGTGCTTTCTGAAGAGACAACTGGACTTCCTTGTTTTTCCTTGAAGACATTTGGCACAACACAGGAGAACAAACACACCAGGACAGGATTCAACAGTCCATCTGCATTTGAAAGACAAAGGTCTCTCTTTTGAAGAAAGCAAAGTCCACATTCTGGACAGAGAGGCCTGCTGGTTTGAAAGAGAGGCCAATGAGGCCATCTATGTCACAACTGAACAGCCTTCTCTCAAGAGAGTGGGAAGGATATGACACTACCTATCTCCTGTGTACAACAAAGTTCTTTCAGCAGTTCCAAAAAGGTTGTACATCAAGGTGACCCTGAAGGCACAGATAAACCAAGCCTTAACAATTCTCAGAAAGAGTACTAACGACCAGTTGACTGCAAGGAGTATAAACCCTCCCCACCATTCAGTCAGACCTGAAAAAGCTTCTTGAATGAGAAGCGAAACAACTTCAAGGAAAAACAAAGAAAGTTCAGTTGCCTCTTGAAAAAGTACCTTTGGGCAACCATGACCTGGATGACTGAGAATCTCTATAAACATCAAGATGGCAAACATACTTAATATTCCTGCCTCCTTCCAAGCCATTCTACTTTTCTTCCCGTTGGAGCCTGTCTATTTCCTCCTCCTGCTATTATCAAACAATATTCCTCCTTACCATTTCCCAGCATCCCATGCCCTTCTTTATACTAATCCAGCACATACTTCACAAAATGTGAATCGGGAACTACAGTATAAGGAGGGTGAAATGTTCCCTAATTTTTTTTTGTTCTGCCAATTTGGATCAAGAGATTAGAATGTAAATCCTAGGAAGAAAGACTAAACAAATTAACATTTCAACTAGACTAGTAGAACCCAATAATATATAAATATTTAAAAGATTTATGTTCAAATATCAATGTCTAGGCCATCTAACCACTGAAGCACAGCAATGTTTATATATATGTATGTATGTATATATATATGGCATTCAGCTTTGTTCGGGTATTTTCCCATGTCATTATAGTTGTGCTTTTAAAGTTGTAGCAACATTTCGGCAGAATCTCATCTGCCATCATCAGGCTTCTGTATTGTGTTCATCTGTTCGGGAAAATACCCGAACAAAGCTGAATACTATACATGTAAGTACCCGTGAAAACTTAAGAAAACCAATATCAAACTTCTACGGGGAGGAAATAA